TATAGAAACTGTGGTACACATATATATATAATAGAATACTGCTTAGCCATATAAATAATGAATACTGACATTTACAACGCAATGGATATACCTGGACATCTTAATGCTAAGTGAAATAAGCCAAATTCAGAAAGAAAAAAGCACATATGTCTTCATATATCTGAAAATTAAGTGTGTGGATGTCATCTCACTCACCGCGTATTTAGTCATAAATATTGCTTCACCAAATCAAATCATGTAAATGGCAATACATTCTTCTTTCCCTGTTATAATTGTCATAAACCCTCACTCTGATATTAATATCTGTTTTCAAGAAAAAAATAGAATGTGTGTACGTAATGCCCACAATTGAGGTTAATATGGGAAAATGTTAAAAAGCATTAAAAAAGAAAAACAAAAAATAAATGAAAGAAGAATACAAATGGGCAAAAAAATTGTGAAAATTGTCAGTATCACTAGCTATCAAGGAAATACAAATCAAAATCACAACAAGATACCACCTCACTTCTTTCAGAATAGCTATTTCCAAAAGATGAAAAGTAACAAATAGTAGAATGGAAGTGGAGAAAGAGGAACTCTTATGCACTACTGATGGAAATGTAAATTAGTACAGCCACTATGGAAAACAGTATGGGGATTTCTTTATTTTTTATTTTAAAATTTTATTTATATAAAGGGAACAAATTTCATGTATTTCATATATATATATATATATATATATATATAGTTTTAAGACCATAATGATACTTCCTACACTACCCTCCCTTCCTCAATTTTACATTCCTTCCTCATTTTTTAAAATCTTTACACTTATTTTCAATTTACTGTATAATCACAGCTCAACCCTCAAAGAAATAAAGAATTCAACAAGCAGTAGGTAGAAAAACCGTTGTTCCTCAATATTTGTAGTAACTAGTATACAGAATACCAGAAAATGTTATATGAGCAAAATTGACATTTTGAGAATTGATTATTGCTTATAGCCCTTGTTATACTCTTGAGATTTCTTTAAAGTGTAGAAATAGAACTGAAAGTCATCCAAAAATCCCTCTACCGGGAAAATATTCAAAAAACCTGAAATCATTAAGTTTATCACAACACTGTTCACAGTAGCTAAGATACAGGATCAACCATGGTGTCCTTTATCAGATGAATGGATAAAGAAACAGTCTTATATACATATAGCAGAATTCCATTCATCCATAAGAAGAATGAAATCTTATCATTCACAGCTAAATGGATGGAACTAGAAGACATTATATTAAATGACATAAGCAAAACACAGTTTTGTACCATGTATTCTTCCTCAAATGTAGGAGCTTAATAAAAATCAATCGAGTACAATGTGGTGACTACTATATTTTTAGAGGTATAGGAGGAATAGATAGAGTTTCAATTAACAAATCAGGTGAAACTGGATATGGTTCATTAATTGTGACAAACATACTAAGATGAGATGTACACAAAAAATAAAAATAAAAATCACTGGACCCAGAAGTCTTACTTGATGAATTTTATCAAATATTTGAGGAAGATATAATATTAATCTCAAATTAGCTGTTCTGAAAAACAGATGATGACAACACAGACCCTAATTCCTTTTCTAAAGGCACAAAGGTAATTTGCCACCAAAAGGAAACATTAGGAAAAAAGAAACCTAGGGTTTTCAAAAATGACATATTAGATTTAATTCAGCATTAACTTCTTCCTCCATGGAAAATAAATGTAACATTAGATAAAGAGCTGATTTTGTTGTGTGTGAAACCATTAGAACCGAACAAGAAAGACACACAAACACTGCAGTACAGGTAGACCTGAGACAGCAGCACACACACACAGAGAAACAAAGTGCACTAGCAATTGTGAACCAAGCTCCAAAGCCCAGGAGAATCCCCATCACAAGTGAAATGGTAAATTGGACAGCCAGCACAGATACATATGATACATTAGCTATAGCAGGGATCTTTATTTGTCACAAACTTGGAGTCCAGTAAGGTTAACCACCTGTAATACATATGATATCTTTCTTCAGAGAAAAAACTCATTGTCTCCTCCTCAATCTCCAAAGCACAGGCTGCACCAGCAGTACACCACTGTCCTGAGGATGTCCTTTGGGACAGAGTCCCCACCATATCTCCAACCCTGGGGTACCACAGACATTTTACCACACTAGCAAAATGAATAAATGAATGAATGAATGAGAAAAGAAAAAGACTGCGACCTCATGAGCTCAACTAAATCAAGAACAGTGAACCCAGAATCCAGCCCACACAGTAATATGTACTACAAGGTAAAGGGTGTTAAGAATAGCAGAAGGATGCTGTCCCCAGGAACCTAGAAAGAGAGATACTTGCACTTGCTGTCTCAGACATGAACCCTCACCTCCTCTAGACCCCATCATTTGGGCACTGCTCATTGCAAGTGGAACCCATCTGCACGAGGACTGCCTGGCACAACCCCATCCCTGCAGCAGTCACTGGGACTGTATTCCCCATGCAGACTGCCCCTCTGCATTGCCCCTAAGTGAGGAGACAGAAAGGGTCACAGTTAGGCCAGCAGACAGGGTGCAGGCCACCCTCCACCCCCCAACATGTGATGCTGTTGCTTGGAAAAACTGTTGGGCACCTACAAGAGCTTGGTTCTCAGAAAGGTAAAGAATGCTGCTTGCAAAGGTGAAAGATGGCTGAAAAGATCTGAAAATATCTACAAAAGACTCACACTTACTGCCAGAAATAAAGTTGGCTGGCAACAGCTAACAAGCCTGATGAATGGCTGATATCTTACTCTCATTAAACTGAAGTAAACCATGATGATTTAAGATGCATATTTTAATACACAGGTACCACAAAGATATTATAAGATAAGCATGTCTAAACCAAAAATCCAAAATGTTCCAAATATGAAACACTGCAAGTACTAACATGAGGCCACAAGTAGAAAATTTCACACTTGGCCTCATGAGATTGCTTACACTCAAAAGGCAGTTACTATAAAAATATTGTATAATGTTACCTTCAGATTATGCATATGTGGTATATATGAAACAAATAAATTCTGTGTTTAGACTTGGGTCTCATCACCAAATATTTTATTATGTACATGGAAATATTCTAAAATTCTAAGTAATTTGAAATTCAAAACACTTCTGTTCCAAAGCATTTTGGATAATAGATATTCAATTTGCAAGCTATAAAAATGGGAAAATGTTGAATATCATTAAATAACTACACTTAATGTAAGTGATATAGGAATCTCAAACAAAGGCAGAGAATAAATTGTCACAATGTACAGAAAAAGTAACCTCCAATTATATGTTGTTCATAAAAGACACACCTAGGATTCATACACAAATAGGCTGAAAATTAAAGAATGAATAAAGATATATCATGTAAATAATAACCATAAGAAGAGGGTTACATTAATATGAAACAGTAAAGATAAGAAATGGGCTAAGGATATTAACAGGTAGTTTTCAAATGATGCAATACAAAAGGCCAATAGAAACATTAAAAGATGCTCAGGATCACTGTTCATGAGGGAAATTCAAAGAAAATTACATTGAGATTTCACCACACTACAGTATTAGTAAGGCTAATATCCAAAAATAAAAAAATAACAAATGCTGCCAAGGATGTGGATAAAAATGTACTTTGACACACCTTTGGTGGCAATGTAAACTAGTGCAAAATTATGGAAGACATTATCCACTATGCTTAGTGAAATAGGCCAGTTCCCAAAAGATAAATACCATGTTTCCTCTGATTCATACTTATTAACATATACAGTAGAAAAATGTTACGTGAGTGAAATTGACATCTTGAGATTTCGTGGTTATACCCTCATTTATACTTCTGAGAAACAGTATTCTTTCTACTTACTAATTGTTGAATTATACATTTACTGGAGGATTAAGCTTGTGATTATAAAGTAAATGGAAACTGTGTCATCACAAAATTTAAAAGAAAAATAAGGAAACAGTTGGGAGGTTGGGAGTGAGGAGGGAGAGAGGAAGGCTGGGAACTATCATTATGTTCTTTAAGCTGTTTATATGATGGGGCCACTGTTGTGCTGCAGCAGGTTAAGCCTCCACCTGTGACACTGCCATCCCATATCGGTGCCAATTCAAGTACTGGTTGCTGCACTTGCAATCCAGCTGCCTGTTAGTGGCCTAGGAAAAGTAGTCAAAGATAGCAAGTGCTTGGGCTCCCAAATTCATGGGAGAGATCCTGAAGAAGCTTAGGGCTCCTGACTTCCATGTGGCCCAGCCCTGAATATTGCTAATATATGGGGAGTTAACAAGTGGATAGAAGATGGCCATATATGGAATGGATGGAAGATTACTCTGTCTCTCCTCCTCTCACTGTAACTCTTCCTTACAAATAAATAAAACTTAATCTTAAAAAAACTGTATATAATTAATACATGAAATCTGTTTCCTTTATATAAATAAATTTTAAAAGGAAAATAATAGTACTTCCAAAATTTAACTAAAAAATGTGTTATCAAAAATTGGGTACTCATAAGAAATCCTTCCTTAATTACATTATTTTCATCTCTTAGCAATGTGTACATGGAAAATCCAAAGAAATGTTTTGTTCTACAAATTGGTAAATATAAAAAAATGGTTCCTTTTTCAATAAAATAGCATAACAAAAAATGTTTCTTGACTAAGAACCATTAGATGCAAAGGTGAAGACTGAGGAAGGAAGATTGAGTTAAAAGTTACTCTATTTGTATCATTCTCTTCATCTGACATTCCTATATATCTCCTTGATGTCACTGAGATAAGACTTAATTCTTCTATAACTTACCATAAGAAATGACAATTTATAAAAAAGATAATTCTGACAAGTATTTGCTTTGCTAGAAAACTTTAAATTCCTTTGTAGTGTAATATTAGAGACTTACATTTATACCATAATCAGGTTGATATATTTAATAACTATGAAATAAAAATAGGAAACTTCACATAATTTAGATAGTGAAAAAATATTCCTTACATATTGCACTTCTGAATTATTACTGGTATTTGCTTTGATTTTCTCTGGTAATATGATTTGTAGAAATGAATTTTGATAACCTGAAAAAAAAAAACAGAAACTGTTTTAAGTTTTACAAAATATATGTTCAGGTTCTTTAATAAGTTAAAAAAAACCTTATTTAAAACACCTAATTTGAAAAAAATACACACTATTATTATGAAAGAATTTTTAAAGGGCAAGGATTAAGTATTCAAGTTATATAAGGTTTCCTGTATCTGAAGAAAAATAGAACAAGTAGACAAAAAGTTAATCAAAGACATACTTCAAAAAACTTTCATGGGATCAGGTATTTAGCCTATCAGCTGAGATGTCAACAATCTGCCGAAGTGCCTCCATTTTGAAAAGCAGCCTCCATTTTCTGGAGCAGGTCCAAGTTCCCATAAAAGCAAGCATTTCAGGGAAACCGAAACTTACAAAAGGGCAGCTCACAGAAAACGACCAAGTAAGGAAATTCCCTAGACCTGAGCCAACCAGAAAAAGCCAGGCCAACCATGAATAGCCCTGACCAATCACAAGTGGCCCCATACTGTAAGCCCCTACTGATGTAATTTCCCTTTAAAAGCATTCCCTGAGCGAGGCTCGGGGCCTTGCTCTAGCCTCAGCTGTACCAGTTGGTTAGATGAGGGGCCCTGCTGCAGCTTGTAATTCTCAAATAAACCTTGCTTTTGCATTTCAGTGAGATGGGGTCTCTGGTGACTTTTTGGGGATCCAACAATCTGGGTATGACATTTTGGGGGCTTGTCCAGGATCCCCAAAAATCCCTCCGCCACCTCAACCCCGAAGGTTTGCACCAGTCTACTGGGTGAGTTCGTTAGTCTATTTGTTAGTCGTCTAACAGTGTCTAATTCTGAATCTGTAGCATCAGCCACCATTGCATCTGAATTTTGAATCCAAGGGTCTTGCCCAAGCAGATGTGCTCATGGGACAACCCTGGAGGAAACGGGAGACATCCCCATTCCTTGTCTGGGTGAGGGATCCGATTTCGAAATCCTCCTGTCTGGGACCTCGGAAGGTCCAATCTATAATTGTCTGGGTGAGGATTCTTATTTTGAAAACCTCTCGTCTGGGACCTGGAAGGGTCCAATCTGCAACTCTGAGGATGAAGAGGCTGAATTCTGAGCCTTGAGTCTTACCCAGTCAGAGCAGACATGCTCATGGGACAAACCTGACAGAATTCTCATCCCATCTGATCTGTAGGTCTTTGGACCATCTGTCTGCAGAAAATAAGTACGGGCCCTGTGTTTGATCGTCTTTTTGTTAAGTGGTGTTTGTCTTGTTTTATTTCTGTTTGACGACTGACTGACTTATCAGGACAGAACATGGGGGCGAATCCCTCCTCTCCCTTGGACCTAACCCTGGTACATTAAAGAATTGTGTCAAAAAGGTGGCTCATGATAACAATGTAAATGTTAAAAAGGGCAATTTGGTTAATTTCTGTTAATTTCTGTTCCTCAGAATGACCCGCTTTCGGTGTGGGCTGGTTCGGGAAAGGAATGATTATTTCCAGAGTTAAAGATTTAGTCTTTCAGCCCCAGATTGGATACCTGGATCAGGTTCCATAGATCGTCACCTGAAGGAGGGCCAGCTCAGTCTACCCGGGGCCTCCCCCCCCACCAGGCAGATACCCCGGCTCTGCCTCTTAGACTGGCAAAACTGGTCGATGCTGATGGCAACCAGCCTCTTTGCCATGAAAGTGAAAAACCGGATCCTGGAGCCACCTGGAAAGCAGTACTGAGGCCAACCACTGCCCCACAGCATAAGGTAAAGAGAGACACTATGTCTATCACCAGGCTTTGTTGGTGGGTCTCAAAGTGGTGGTGCACAAGACTGGCACAAAATTTGAAATTGGCTTTGGAGACTGGCACAAAATTTGAAATTGGCTTTGGAGACTGGCATGGACTGGGTAACTCTCCTCCCCTTTGCCTTATCTCAGAATTTAAACTTCATCTTAGAACCAGGCCTGGTCCAAAGTCTACTCTCCCTATCTTATCAATGAAACAAATTGGGTTTCCCACCTTTCTGATGGCTCTTCTGTTTTATCTCGAGCAAGCCAGAAGATACTGCTTTGTAACTTGGTAAACTTATTTTGCAATTTGTTTTAACAAATTTCTGGGTGGTCAGTACTCAATAAAACAGTAATGAGTAATTAGTACTTGTTTTAGAAAATACAATTTTGATTTTAATTAAATTCAGACAGAAATATATAGTATCAGCATTTTAAGTCATTTAAATGTAACTGCTAATTTAAATTGGGTAAAGGCAAATGCGATAAATGTGTCTAAATGTAAACTTTGGTACTCTCAACACCTTATGTTCTATAGAAGAACTACTTAAATTTACTAACGTGTTTTCATATAGTGTCCATATGCAAAATAGTTCAACATCACTTGAAAGTAATTAATGCTGAAATTTTATGTGTTACCTTGTTTAGAAATGTTGTTTTAATTTGGATATTTTTAACAGGTTATTTCAAAATGTAAATCAAGAAAATTGGCAGATGAAAAACATCACAAGTACAGAAATATGTGCTTGGTAAAAAAGGTTAAGAAGAGTTTTTTTTTTTTTTTTAAATAAAGGACATGGTTTGTAAAAATTCATCCTGATGGCTAGCTTACACTAGACTGGAATGAAAATGATAGAATGCTTCAAGTAAGTTAAAGAGGGTGTGTGTAAGTCACAGAAGGTTATAAAAATTTTAGATACAAAAGCTATTATTGATTCTCTGTTAATGCAATGAGTTAAAGTAATCTATTATGTTCTCTTGGTGTCTCTGTTAAATTCTAATTGTTTAAAAACAAGTGAGTTTTTTTTATTGAGAACTATGGGTTATTTAAATATGTGCTTATTTTTGACCATTTGAATCCTGAAAATTCCAGTAAATTTTAAACTCTGTTTTTTTCTCATCTCGTAAAAACACCGACTAATCAGGCTATTTGGATTATATTAAAAGTACTCTCAAAATGTAAAGTAGTACTATAATATTAATACTAATGTCTAAAAATTGTAAAGTCTGGTAACCTAGTGTTACGCAACATAATGGCATCTTGGTGAGGGGGGCCCAGAGGCCTAAAAGAGTTAAGTGCTTTGTAAAATCCTACAGGTGTTTTCAAAATACTGTGTAAACAAGTGTCTCTTGTTGGTTAACAAGTTTGTAATTTTAAAATAACAACTTAAGGTCCTTTGTCATCCATAGTTTTGCATATCAGATTTACTGCTCATAAAACTAAAGCGTTGTTGGTTCTTTGTTTAACTGTCCTCCTATAGGTTACAATGGACTTTTTCCAGACACATCTTGTATTCAGTACTTTGGGATGACTCTGTAAACTGATTAAGCCAATAATGTATTACAGGTACCAACTAAAAAAGTATAGTTAACTCAGGTTACTAAGATCAGAAAGTAATTAAAATCTATTACTGAAACTGCTTTATTGTTCTGATGTATGTGACCCTGTAGTTTGCTATGAAACAAAATGCATCTATCTAAATGTAGTTAGCCTTTAAATCAACTTCTCTGTATCATTTATGTATGTTTTTCTAATGGCTCTGCTGCTCTAAATGCTCTGTATACAAAAATGTTATCTCAAGTGTTACATATGCTGTAGTAATTGATTATATTATAATCTGTAACAAAATGCTTCCCATAAGTTTAAACAGCTAAAGTTAATCGAAAATTAGTGTAACCTGACTCTCTGTATCATGTGTTTTAAACCTGTTGATAGGGAAAACTGGAAACATTTTATATACTTGTACTTAAATTTGCTGGTTAAACAAGCTACATCATGTTGGGTATTTAAGAAATGTTCTTAAAATTGGTAAAAGACATTGAACCAGTCTGGTAAGTGTTTTTCTAAACTGTTTTCTAATGATTGAATCTGCTTGCTAAGTTTTCATTTGATATTACTCCTAAAATGTTTGTGTCGCTCCCCCTCTTCATGGAGGAATGACACTAAACCCTGCCTAGGCTTCATATCCGAGTCACGGCACCATTATGTCACTCCCTGTCTTCGTGGAGGAACGACACAGGACCCTGCACTGTTCTTTTGTCTGCTCGGCCCTCCCCGGGTTTGCTGCTGGTGCTTCCCGGGTTGGCTACCGTCCCTTCCACCTCCGTGGAAGGGGGGTTCCCCCTAGCCACTTTCCCCACTTCCGCAGGAGAGTGGCACACCGCCGGCCGGCCCTCTCAGGGGCTGCACAGGTGTTCCTTCAGATAGATGTTCCTCTTAGATGTTCCTGGTACATGCCGTCTCTCTCCTCCTTTATAGTCCTCTTCCACCAATCCCAACTCTGCTACCCACAAGCCGAGTACGCTGCTCTCCTCCAATCAGGAGCAGGTCCTACAGTTTATTGGTTGAACTGGAGGCAGCTGTGTAGAAGCTGTTTATCCCTTCTCAGTGCCATATTGTGGGAGAGCAGATGCATAGAGTAAGTCTTAATTCCAGTAACTTAGTCTAGTCCGAGTTGCTCCCCACAGATCCCCCTTTCTTTTTATTTTTTGGCGTTGATACGCGCCTGTCTTCGGTGCCCCGCGGCACACACTCTGCTCTGCTTGCTAGAGTTGCCCACAGGTTCTTACAAGCCCTATCAATCAGGCAAACCGAATCCGGGTCCTCTCTTCGCCATGTTGTGAGGAGGTTTTTAGGCGCTGATGCGTGCCTGTGTTCGGTGCCCTGCAGCGCATGCTCTGCTCTGCTAGAACTGCCTGCAGGTGCTTACAAGCCCTAGCAATCAGGCAAACCGAATCCAAGCCTTCTCATTGCCGTATTGTGGGGACACTTATTGGTGTTGATAACGTGCCTGTCTTCGGTGACCTGTGGCGCATAAGCTGCTAGCCGCCAGCAGGTGCTTATCGTCTTACTAATCAGGCAGACTGAATCCAAGCTCTCTCATTGTCGTGTTGTGGGGAGGCCTTATTTTTCTGTTTCTCTATCTCCGGGCATTCCTATTTCTCCTATTTTACTTCTATCTACCAGCATTCCTATTTCTCTCATTTTACTTCTAAACTTCTGTTTCTCTTATCCCTGCGGCATCCCGGCGCCCG